GTTTGATGATGAATTAAGAAACACTGCATCTAAAGAGCAACGGTTTATGGACTTTACACCCCAGCAGCATTTTTTACATTTATTGCAAAGATGAATTTTGTTGATACTGATTTAATTTGCTTGATAACAGCCCAAATGTCTTATTATTCTAATTGACTGACTAAATGTAAGAATTTGACTCAGATGATGATGTACACTTTTAGAAAAAAAATGGCTTAATTGTAAAAATGACCATTAAAGGTAAAAATCTATTTAAATTTATCTGACCACCACACAGAATATGAAGAATATCAAAAACTTTAGGAGTCAGCTGTCCACGAACGTCCTTAAGATACCAGCATGATAACACACTCAATCAGTTGAATGAATGACTCAATACTCACTCATTCAGTGACTTACCGCCACTTACTGGTAGTTTAGTTGTGAAGTTTGTTGAAAAGTATGCATTTTTCCCCTCAACATTTCTTATTTGTATATTCATAAATGCATTTAAAACATTAATCTCATAACATTATTTATTGCAGTTGTAATTATTGTTATTTGCAGTGTAAATTATTTAATCTGACTGGTAGCAGCCCTATAGTGTATATTTAATTTATTGATAAATTGTAATAATTTGACATGAAAGATGAAGCATACATCTAAAAAGGTTAAAAATAGGCCTTTGTAAAGGTAAATAAAAAATATGCAGATTTAAGTATGTAAAGGCTGATAGAACACTGATGAAACATTACTTCAGAATAAATTGTTTACTCCACCAAAAATCTCAGCGATGCAGTTATTTTGCAGGGATATTTTGTATGGAATATTGTCTGTTGATATGAAAAGTTCACTGTATATCGTAGTAATAAATATAATTTATTACAGCAATGATGTTTTGTTTTCTTTTTTATTTAAACAAATTAAATATTACAAATATGTATGTAATAAAATGTGTATTTCCATTACAGGTTTAGGTCTTAAATTTCATATGAGGTGGTATTAAAAAGGTCTTAAAAAGTCTTCAGTTTAACTTGTTCATGTCTGTAGAAACCCTGATACAAGCACTACATATAGTCAAAAATTGTGTGAAATAAAAATAAAGTTAAACTTAAAGAAATCCACTTATTCGTTATCAGAAATGACACACCACTTCCGCAAGCACTTAATCACCCCACACTCTTAAGCCTATGCACACACACACACACACACACACACACACACACTCACACACACACACACACACACAATCTCTGTACTACTTCTGTTCTCTAGCTGGTTTCCTAATCTAGTTGTCTAATAAATCTGACATTGTGTACTACAACGATTGTTGGATTGTTGCTTTGTTCCTCATGTGTAAGTCGCTTTGGATAAAAGCATCTGCTTAATGTGTAAATGTAAATGTATGGTGGTCACAAAGAAAGAAATCAGTTTAAAATTTCAAGTAATTGTGTTATATATATATATAACATTTTTTAAAGAAATGTGCAAATGCTAAGTGAAAACAAAAGTTGCCTGGGCCTACATTTAATCTGGTTGGTAACATGCTGATTTAGAAAAAGAAAAACAAAAGGATTCTACTAATGGACTGAGCTAAGTGCTTTGTTAACAAAAGTTGAACATAATATTTACACCCCTGAGTGAAGTCAGTGCAGCAGTTCTTTGACTGTGTTTGCATTGGTGCTCGTTTCTGACTGTGCAACGCATATGAAGTAAAATCTCCGAACAAGCAGGTAAAGATCATCTGACTTATATGCAAGTGATGTGATTAAGCCTGTTTTCATATAATCCATGGAATATGACATACCTCACACTGCAGAGACACAAAAACAAAAATATAAATTGTGAGATTAAGCAAGAGTTACTTTTTACTTTACTTTTTATATATGCAAAGTGTGTGTTAAATGCATTTTATGGTGCGCAGTAATAAAAATATGACTTTATTTTTGGTTATGTAAAATGTATGCAGATTTGTATGTCTGTATTATGTATCAAAATATCAGAGCAAGTGGCATTTATTTAAAAAAAAGTAAACACTTTTCAAGACATTTAATAAAAAGAACTGGTAACACTTTACAACAAGGTTGTATTAGTTAACGTACAACTGTCCATTGTTAGTTCATGTTATCTCAGATCCATTAAATTATATTAACAGATGCAACTAATGTTCACAAATGGAATCTTATTGTAAAGTGTTACCAAAGAACTTGAAAATAAAAACATTGTCTTTATACACCCATTAACAACCACCTTCAATTAAAGGTGTGATTTAAGTTTTCTAAAAGTGCATTTGTGTTGTTTTGTTTTTTACTGAAATGAATGTGTTTGAACTTACTGGCACAATGCTGTCTGTAATCTCTGCAGCAGTTTATACTGCAGTTAGTATTGCAGTTGCAGCGAAAGCGACTGTTGTACTTCTCATTGCATCTCCCCCTACAGGAGGTTGAGGCTGCACATACAAATAATTTTGCGTTAGTCAAGCAAGTATGCTCTCTTACGTGGGTGTACGCTGTGTAGGTGTTTGAGAGAGATTTTTACTTAGGCTGGCAGAGGAGCATGAGGTCGGGGGGTTGAAGGCGACAAATCCTGGCAGGTTCTGACCAATTCTGTTGGTGATCCAACTCTGATATCGAGACACACGGGTGTAAACACCAGGTGCGTTGGGATTAGCACAGCCATAACCCCAGCTGGTGATGCCAGACTGAACCCACACTGTGCACTGCCTGCTCACCACTGGACCTCCAGAATCCCCCTACAGGGAGGGACAAGAGGAAAGAAAAGGGATATTCTTCTTATCACGACAGGGCAGTTAGTTGTGACAGAAAAACAGCTCTCGCTACTCCATCCTATGCCCACAGAAGCAATACAGCCCATGTGTTTCATGCACAGAAAAGGAGTGTAATTTTAACAGTAAAAGGCTATAAAAAAATGTTACAGTAAAAACCTGTTTACGGTAAAAATTAAAATGACAGTTTTTTAAGGAAAAAAATAAGTTATCATACAATTTACAGTGAAGACATGTCCAGAATTCCCTGTTTGACACTTTCTCTAATTTTTTTTTTCATTGAAATAACTGTTTCGTCTTAGTTTTTGTTGTACATCAGGGTTTCATTTTACATCTTATGTTTTTAAATAAATATTTATTGCAGTATTTTAGAGTTACCTTAATGGTGTTTTGTATTTCACCTGTGGTTTTTGGTGGTTGTCATAAAGGTGTTATAAAGGTACAAAACAAATTTTAGTTATTTTTTGGTAACAGCGTGTATGTTTACACTACTGGAGCTACTTAGTTTTAAGCATTAATCCTAAACAGACAATGTGAATGCAAAAAATATCAAATATAATTGTTGTACCTGACAGGTGTCTTTGCCTCCCTGTGTCAAACCAGCACACATCATGTTGCTGGTAACAGATACAGAACCCAGAAGAGTATTACATCGATCATTAGCCACCACTGGAACCATAGTCTCCTGCAGGATCCCAGGAGAAGGTAAACTCGCTGAACACCAAAACACACATACACAACCATCTATTAGTGATGTTAGGAGTAGATATATACTTGAATTAATGGGTTTGTACGTTTTTGTACCTCCAGTTTGAACATCTCCCCAGCCTGTGATCCAGCTGCTGGTGCCAGAAATGAAGACGCTGCTCTGGGCCGCCAGACACACGGGTCTAATATAGTTATTAAAGGTGACTGTGGAGGACAGCCGGAGCAGAGCGATGTCATTGTTGTTTGTGTTGCTGTCATAAGAGGGGTGAACGATTATGGTTCTCACATTTCTACTGATTTCATGGGTATTGACTCCCTCCTGTGTCCTTCTTCCCAAATACACACGCAGACTGGATGCACTGACACTAAATACAGTTAGAGAAAGTGAACATGAGACAAAAGAAGGAAATAGAAACAACAAAACACAACTAACAACAAAAAACAACTAAGTACTTTTGTTATTTTGTAATATAGTAAAGTAAATTCAAAGAATTTCAAACTGGCCCAAGTAAATTTCAGAGGGGAAAAAAAAAATGTGGAAAGGCAGAACAAATTGAAACCTAAATGTCTTTGAATGCCAAATGTTTTCACATTGCATTCACATGTCAAACATAACAAAATATCTTAAGACATCATGACAACCTTTCTTTCTTTCATTCTTTTTACTTTTTTAAAACAAAACGGGTGCATATGAGTGTTTAGGTGAATCTTACCCAGGTAAGCAGTGAGCTGCTGTCAGCACCCATTCATTATTGATGAGGGAGCCTCCACAAAAATGACCTCCATAGAGAGAGCTGTGCAGACTGACCTGCCACGGCCACGACCCATCAGGTGCGTTCACGCCACCAACAATACGAGTGTTTAGAGGAGCCTGTCCACAAACTACGAGAAAGAGAAAGAGAGATTGTTCACATAAGTATTTCTACATAAACTATTTGACTTGATGCTGATGTCTTTAGAAGAGGAGCTCTTACCATTCAGCTGAGAAAGTGAACCTGCAAGGGCAGAAATAAAGTGTGCATTAGAACAATTTCATCTTAATTTTTCACTGAATAATGACCCTGTGCAACATTATTGCACTAATAATCGTTAGCTAATAAATAACAATTAACAAGTTAGCCAGAAGAGTATTACATCGATCATTAGCCACCACTGGAACCATAGTCTCCTGCAGGATCCCAGGAGAAGGTAAACTCGCTGAACACCAAAACACACATACACAACCATCTATTAGTGATGTTAGGAGTAGATATATACTTGAATTAATGGGTTTGTACGTTTTTGTACCTCCAGTTTGAACATCTCCCCAGCCTGTGATCCAGCTGCTGGTGCCAGAAATGAAGACGCTGCTCTGGGCCGCCAGACACACGGGTCTAATATAGTTATTAAAGGTGACTGTGGAGGACAGCCGGAGCAGAGCGATGTCATTGTTGTTTGTGTTGCTGTCATAAGAGGGGTGAACGATTATGGTTCTCACATTTCTACTGATTTCATGGGTATTGACTCCCTCCTGTGTCCTTCTTCCCAAATACACACGCAGACTGGATGCACTGACACTAAATACAGTTAGAGAAAGTGAACATGAGACAAAAGAAGGAAATAGAAACAACAAAACACAACTAACAACAAAAAACAACTAAGTACTTTTGTTATTTTGTAATATAGTAAAGTAAATTCAAAGAATTTCAAACTGGCCCAAGTAAATTTCAGAGGGGAAAAAAAAAATGTGGAAAGGCAGAACAAATTGAAACCTAAATGTCTTTGAATGCCAAATGTTTTCACATTGCATTCACATGTCAAACATAACAAAATATCTTAAGACATCATGACAACCTTTCTTTCTTTCATTCTTTTTACTTTTTTAAAACAAAACGGGTGCATATGAGTGTTTAGGTGAATCTTACCCAGGTAAGCAGTGAGCTGCTGTCAGCACCCATTCATTATTGATGAGGGAGCCTCCACAAAAATGACCTCCATAGAGAGAGCTGTGCAGACTGACCTGCCACGGCCACGACCCATCAGGTGCGTTCACGCCACCAACAATACGAGTGTTTAGAGGAGCCTGTCCACAAACTACGAGAAAGAGAAAGAGAGATTGTTCACATAAGTATTTCTACATAAACTATTTGACTTGATGCTGATGTCTTTAGAATGAGAGGAGCTCTTACCATTCAGTTGAGAAAGTGAACCTGCAAGGGCAGAAATAAAAGTGCACATTAGAACAATTTCATCTTCATGTTTCCCTTAATAATGACCCTGCCAGAGTTCACTGCACTGATTATGGTAGATTTGTTGTACCATTAACTTGTGGGACTGAAAATGCGGAAAACATTTCTGGGCAAACCAGTTTAATTACAATAAGCAAAACTAGCAGCTTTTCTTTCCCCTAACCATTCAACTATGACATTTGCCCCATGTCGTGCAAGTACATTCCACATGCCCAGCAGGTGTAGCTCACAATGTAAAACATTTATAGGCTTCCGTAACAGTAAAAAAGAAAGAATCAATTATTATATATATATAAAAGGCTGTGGCCTAGAAAGAGTATTTACATAGATTATCTCACAGGATCATTACAGTTCAGAAATCTGTGTATTACGTAAGAATAGTTCTTGTGAACCTGGATGTACAATGTGTAATTTAACTATTTATTTTAAGAGTCGTTTCAATCTGTACAAGTTCAGTTAACACATTTGCTTGGTGGGCATAGCTTGTATTTCTGTTTTAACTGTGTTTTTCATCAAATTAATGCAGCCTTGGTGAACATTACACTTTTTTCAAAACATTAAAAATCTTAATTGTTCCAAACTTTTGTACTTCAGACATGACATATCACAGCAGTGTTTCTTGCACTGCCGCTCTTCACAGGCTTCATGCAGATACAAGAAGCGACTCATAAGAGTCATTTATTTATGAATCGGATTACACAGCCACCTGTTTAGTCTGATTGATGAACAAATGATTCTTGTGAGTCAGCTCTTTGATAAAACGAGACTCACTAACCCAGGAGTTACCCATCAAATGAATCATTCATATGAATCTACATATGAACTCCAAGTTTCTTATCAATGCGTCTTTATTTTAACAAAGCCCTTAGACTGCTCTTATGCGCTGTGCCACAAAAAATATATATTCTCTCTTTTCTATATAATGTCTTTGTTCCTGGTTATCTGCTCTTTAATAGATGTACCATGAGACCTTACCTTTGGCACACATGAGCAGGGTCAAAGTGACACACGTTAATCTCCACATCTTCACACAGTCCCTCTGTTTGCTAGCAGAATGGATGCTGATGGTAATCTGGTTCACTGTGCCTCTTAAAATCCCTTTTATATAGTTCCAAAAGCTTCTCAGGTTGCTCTTCTCATCTGTCACTCACCTGCCCACTTCTTTTCTCTTTATGCTCCTCCTCCGTTTTTGTTATCCTTTTTCATTCTTCAATTTTTTTTAGTATGCACAGCTGCCACGCATGTATCCACTACACTCAGAACATTTTTCACAATTTGTGCTTCCTGTTAGGGTTTGGTAATTGATATTTGTGCAGTCATGATAAATGCAAATATCTGAGGTTATTGTCAAAAAAGTCAGAGACATTTTTTTTTATATATTAAACTGATAACTTTGTGCTTATTTGATATTATTTTGTATTTGGTAATTTTTTTAGAAGAATTTAAAACTGGCCCAACGAATTAATTTTGAAGAATTTTATTTATTTATTTGAATGTTGCCTTTATTTAGATAGGACAGTGTAATGACAGGAAGTGAATTGGGAGAGAGAGTGGGGCGGAATCGGAAAAGATCAAAAATAAAGGAAAAATGGAATGACAGATGGAATTGAAACATAAATATCTTTGAATGTCAAAAGTTTTTTGGGATTCAAGCATTAAAAATATCTTAAGACATCATGACAACACTTTCTATTTTTCTTTTAGTTTGTCTGTCTTCTTTCCTGCTTGATTTATTTCTTGTAACACATAAATAAAGGAAAAACATCACATATAAAAGGCATGACGATAATAATACCCTTTATACACAAAGACAGACAATGGACCATGGAGAGGATGATTAGGTATGACAACTTATTATTAGATGACAGCCACAATTACTCATAAATTCCATACACAGGATAGGTGAGTCGGTGTGTGTGTGTGTGTGTGTGTGTGTGTTTTCTTACCTGAAGGTACAAGAATAAAATATCAAGCTACAGTTGGCTTCTATACTGCCAACCTCATTTATAATAATAACACAATTTAATTCAGCCAAAGAAACTTAAGCTGTAAAACCTGCAATGTTTCTTTAACACAGGGACATCAATCTTGTGCTTAAGAATATTTGTGTAAGATTTATATTGTTCTTATGTTTGACCTTTACAGTGTCTAGGATCTATTTGATGTTTTTTTTTGTGATTGTTTAGTGGCTGTGTAGATGTGATCAGTCTGGCTCTCAGGTTTCGCTCCACTTCTCTCACCTCTAACATAATTATGACGTCGCAATGTCACAGATCTCAAGATCCGGCAAAATAAAGAATACAGAATCCTGAAAGTTGGCCTTAGAATACGCCTTTTGTCAGCCTAACATCAAATTGTCTTTAAATTTGCTCATTAATCAGAGATCAGAAGGCGTCAGAGACGACTAGAACACTAAATATAGGACACCTCAAACAGAGAATTACTTGTTGTTTGTGAATCAGATCAACCTTTAAGTGGTTTGAGCAGTGTCTAAGTTGCTTATTAGCATGCCTATTATTAACATATTGGCTGTTTAGTAGTACTTATAAAGCACATATTCTGCATGACCATATTCTACATCCCTAATCATACCCAATACCTAAACTTAACAACTACTTTACTAACTATTAGTAGCATCAAATTAGGAGTTTGAGGCAAAATTCATAGTTAATAGTTTGTTAATAGCGAGAATCGTGCCTTAAAGGGGTCATATGATGTTGCTAAAAAGAACATTATTTTGTGTATTTGGTGTAATGAAATGTGTTTATGCGGTTTAAGGTTTAAAAAACACATTATTTTCCACATACTGTACATTATTGTTTCTCCTCTATGCCCCGCCTTTCTGAAACACGTCGATTTTTACAAAGCTCATCGGTCTGAAAAGTGAGGTGTGCTCTGATTGGCCAGCTATCCAGTGCGTTGTGATTGGCCGAATACCTCAAGCGTGTGACGGAAATGTTACGCCCCTTACCATATCATATTGTGATCCGGCCGGAGCGACGAGACAAAAACATTAAAACCCATTATAAACGAGGCATTTGTTGCATGTTGCATCAACATAATTACGGATTATAATGACTTATACTGTCTTTTTACACGTTGCATCGCGCCGCGTAAACATAAAACCATGTCTGCAAATCTAGTCGTGTCCTCTTTTGGAAGACCAAACAAAGTAGTTTCGCTTTCACAACGAAACACACAGCGCCTTCACAACATGGCGGC